CCTGCCAGGCCGGCCTCCCCTTGGGAAGCTCCTCGCCAGGGCCACCTCTGTGGGCCCTTGCCCCCGCTCATCTGCCTCCTGGCTGGACTGCAAGTTCTCAGAGGGCAGGGATGGTGCCTGGCACCCGGTGCCGGTCCCGAGCCAGGCCTACGAGTGGTTGCCGAGCCTGCCTGTCCCCACGTCTCTAGGTCTTTGTCTGGGCTCCGCCTGCTCCCCCTGCTCAGATGCCCTCTCCCTTTCTGTCCCACGCTGCCTCCTGACCTCACTGCCTCTCTGTCTCCTTTCTTGTGTGTGTGTCTGTGTCCCCCTCCCGTGTCTGCCTCACCCACGCCTCCCTCCCTCATTAGTGAGCAGGCTGCTTGAGGCCGCCTGACTGTGGGGGTGACAGGTGGATTGGATTGTCACCCCCCCTCCCCCAGCGCCTGCTGCTTATTTCATGCCCTGCAGCCCAGCCACAGGGAAGGGGCGGGAGGAGGGATGACAGCTGTCTCCAGCGCCTCCTGTCTTCCCTGCAGTCCACAGCCTGCAGCCCAGAGCAGCCTGGGAGGGAAGGATGGAGGCCGCCTAATGAGAGCGCCCTCCTCACTGGGAAGAGCAGTGGAGACCTTTGCTCTGTGATGCAGGGTGCCCACAGCCTCTCTGGGCATCTGCTCCGTGTGACCCACACTGGTGGTAGAGCTTTGGAAATGGGTGCCCTGCAGTTCCTCTGCATGTCCCAGCCCCTGTGACAGGGCCAGTAGGGCTGGGCAGCCGTGAGGGAGAAGCCGAGATATGGATGGAGCTGGCTGCTGGAAAGCAGACCTCTTGCAGGCCTCAGGAAGGACAGCCCTCCTCAGCCTGCTGCAGCTGCAGCTCCAGGGGGCTGCCCTGACTGCCCCCCACAGCCCAGGCCACCCCACACAGGAACTGAGATAGCATCATTCTGAAACCTGAGAGTGGTTTGAATATTGCTCAGGTACCAAGAGGTGTTACACTGGGGAGGCCAGGGCCCTTCCCTCTCTCTTGCCCCCTCCAAACTATTCCCCCTTTGGGTTCCTTTTGCATTTCATTTGTACTTGATTTGCATATAAACAACCCACAGTTCCTATTGGGTCTGTATCCCAGTTTGGAAAATGGCTGCTTGTGGGGACCTTCTGGATTCCCTGCATGCCCTGGTGTCCTGCTGGCCCACCTGGTCCTGCTCCTGCCTGCCCCTTCTCTTGTTTGCAAGACTTCCCTGGAGCTGCCCTTCCGCTCAGACTTGGGCCCAACCCTCTCCCCTTGCTCCTCCTGCACCTCCATCAGAAAGGCCTGCTACCCTGCCCGGCCCAGGAGTCCTGTCCTGGCCAGCTCTGCCCTGTCCAGGACCCTGCGGGGGTTACTTGTGTGGCATGGGGATGGTGCAGCTGAAGGAGTCACGGCTGTGGCCTGAGGTTGGGATGAAGCAGGCCCTGCAGCCATCCTCCCAAGAGCAGAAGGTGTCTGTCTCAGGCTCAGAGTCCTCCCAAGCCAAGGGCCAGGTCCTGGAGAGGAGGGGAGGAATGGGCCGGGCCAGGCTGGGATGGACGCACATCTGGAGAACAGACGCCCAGGCCTCCGGCTCCTGGCAGCTGGGCAGGTAATTAGACAGAGGGCTAATTGAGGAGGCCCAGGTGTTCATTAAAATCTCCCTGATGAGGTAGGAGGGAAGCTTGGACAGGGTAGGCCTCCACACCTTGGACGGGGTCAGTTTAGGGTCCTTGGGGCCATCTGGACTTCAGCTGCCCTTCCTCCAGAGTCATGGTTGAGTTCATGTTCCTGTCCCAGGGCTGCAAAGGACCTGCAGCACTGTGGAATGGACAGCAGAGGGGAGAGAGGCAGTGTGGACTGAGGCTGCTGTGGTGGGTAGGGTTCTCTGGTGGTGTTCGCACAGGGTGGGGGCAGCAGTGGGGAAGGGGCCTTGGGAAGCATGGAATTATACAAAGTGCTTTGGGCTCCCTTGGAGAAAGTGGGGATGGATGGGGCCCTGACTTCCCTCTACCAGAGGACACTCAGTGGGTCTCTGTGGCTTCCCTGCCTTCTCAGCCCTGATCCCTCTCGCATCCCAGCTTCCCCAGCATGAGGCGGGGGTGGGGGGGGCGGTGTAGGAGATCAGCCAGGGAGCTGGTTGCCAGGCGACAGTTGCCTAAGCAACTCCATCCTCTCCATCTCCATGTGCTCAGGGCCGCTCCTTAGAAGACTTTAGAATCTCACCCTCTGCACCAGCCAAGCCGAGGGCGGGGAGGGTTGGGGATGGGAGGGCAGGTGGTGGGAGGGTGGGGGTGTCCAGACAGACGAGCTTCAAGGGCAGCTGGAAGAGGAAGGGCTACAGCGACCCAGGACAGAGACGAGCTGGCACTGCAGCAGGACCAACACAGGTCAGACTGTAGGAGGGACTCCTCCTCACTGGGGTCCGAACAGTGAGACAGTCTTTTTTCTACAGACAGCCCTTGAGCCGTCAGAGGATGGACTAAGTAGTCCATGCCCTCATGAAGCTTCAGTCTCATAGGGGAGCAAGGCGTTAAGTAGAAGCACAGAAATGTAATTATTTACATTGTAAATGCTAGAAAGATCACAAGGTGGCTTTTTGAGTGTCCCGAGGACAAGGAGTGGGTCCTTTCCCAGCGTCCTGACCGTAAGGGATCGAGGTTCACTCGGCAGGCCTGCTTCTGAACAGAGCCTCTCAGCCCTTCCAGAGAGCCCAGGCTGGAGGACCCGGATGAGAAGCCACCTGGTCCTGGTATCCTGGCCTTGAGTGCCCTGCCAGCCCCACCGCATCACAGTCCATGAACTTCACTGAGACGCGGGGACCGACGTCCTGTGCCTGGCATCTTTGCAGAGCAGTTTGGCAAAGATGGGGTCACGGGCAAGGAATGGGGCGGCTGGCACTGGTTCTGGGCCGAGATGTGTGCTGGGCTGCTCACTCGGGGCTGCTGTGTGCAGGGGCTGGAGGAGGCGAGGGCCACGGCCCACCTGGAGGACGAGGGTGCTGGGTTTGTCCCCAGCAGAGCAGATGGGAGAGGGTCTTTGGAGGAGGCACAGGAGTGTCCTGTCCTCTGCGGCTCCGGCTCCCTGTGCAGAGCTCCAGCTGGGCGGCGAGACCTGGGGTCGGTCTTGGGCTGGGTGAGTGGGCAGGGTCGTCGAGCTGCCAGTTCCACACTCGCGTCCTTCCCTTGCCCTCTTTCCTCGATGGCCAGGATTTGGGGCTGACTTCAGCACCTCCTGTGGCACTTGGGGGCTATGTGGATGGGGCTGGGAAGGCTCCAGGAGGCTCAGGAGCGTGGCGGTGTGTGGGGTGTTCTCCGTCACCTCCACCTTGGGTGGCTCCCCCAGCTGGGAGAGCAGGGGACAGGCCCCTCCTCCTGCACTCTGTGGTAGGGTCTTTGGGCAGGGGCTCTGTGGAGGGGCAGCTCAAGGTTGGAGCCGGACCTTTCTGTTCCACACTCCTTACAGGACCCATGTAGAGTGGCTTCGCTGTGATGCACACCTGTAATCTCAGCTACTCAGGAGGCTGTGGCAGGAGGATCACAGGTTTGAGGCCAACCTGGGCAACTTAGTGAGACCACGTCTCAAAGTTAAATGATAAAAAGGGCTGATAATGTAGCTTGGTGGTAAGATGTTTGCTTAGCTTGCACGAGGCACTGGGTTCACTCCCTAGGACCACAGAAAGGTGGTGGGGGTGGTCGTGTCCTCCTCTTCATTTCCCAGGAAGCTCCATCCTTGATGCAGGGACTCCTGGAATGACAGGGCTGAAGTGGCCTTCAGGTCATCTTCATCCTGCCCTGGGCCTCGCTGGTCCCAGAGGCTGTGCAGCCTGTGTGCCCCTGCCCCACCTGAGTGTGCCCCTTCCCTGGCTCGACCCCTGGGGTTGTGCAGGGCCAGGTTGTGCTCCTATGAACACTGGTTCTGTGGGACCCACTGGGTGGTGTGTGCCTGTCCCCGTGCAGGGCCTTGCCAGTGCACCAGGGGCTGCTCGAGAAGCTCCGCTCAGTCAGCCTGGGCTCCAGACCCGGCCTAGGCCTCGAGAGCGGGTGGGGCCATGGGGAACTGCGCCCTTTTTTGTACTGGTAATGTTAGTGCTGTGCCCTGCTTGTGTGCTCTAGTAGCAGAATTGAGTAGTTGCAGTACAAAGTGTAGCCTGCACAGCCCAAAATGTTTTGTTTGGTCCTTTACAGGAAAAATTTGCCAGGGTTAGGGGTGGCTGGTGGTAGAGCCCATGCCCAATATGCGTGAAGCCCCAGCACCACAAAGAAAAAAGTTGCCTATCCCTGATCTAGGAGCAGCTTCTTGTTTATTTGTTTGCTTGTTTAAGCACCTGAGCCCTTTCTTCAAATAAATTTTAGGCCAAAGGCTGCTAAGTAAACAAGATGTTGCGGAGAGCACTGGTTGAAGGGAGATGGGGTCTTTTTTGTTTGTTTTTTTGAGATAGAGTCTCACTATATGATTCAGGCTGGCCTTGAATTCTCTACATAGGCCAGGGCGGCCTCAAACTCACAGCAGTCCTCCTGCTTCAGCCTCCTAAGTGCTGGGATTATAGGCCATCACACCCAGCGAGATAGAGGTCTTGTAGCTCCAGGCCCTGGGCTCTGAGCTGGTGTGGGCCACTGCTAGGGTCCTCATCCGGTGTGTCCTTGAGCTAGGGCACCAGAGACCCCTGTCCTGGCACCAGGCATCCTGGGCGGACGTTGACCCAGGATGCTTGCCACACCAGACCAGAGTGTGGGAACCACTGGCCTGGGCCAGAGGGGCAACTGGGGAGCCCCAGCAGGCTCCAGAGAGAAGGGGCGGGGCATTCCCTAGCAGCCAGACCCCGGAAGCCCAGAACCCCGTGTCCTCCGTCTGGCTTAGCGCCTGAGTGCTCTGCATGGCCTTGCCCAGGCGGCCATCACAGCCTGGCTGAGACGCCAGCCTCTCTCAGGGTGCTGTGAGTCTGGCTCATGTCCCCAGGGCCTGAAAAGCTGGGTGCCAGGCCCTCGACAGCCCCTCATTACCCTTCTGTCCAGGAGGCTGTACAGAGACGTCCCGCAGACCATGAACTGAGTGTGGGGCCTGGACGTTCATGAGCACAGTGTGAGGTACACCAAGACCGCCACCCTACAGCCCTCCCTCCCCGCACTGAGGACCTCTGGAGAAGATGGGGAGGAAAAAGATTCAGATCCAGCGAATCACCGATGAGCGGAACCGACAGGTAAGGGGGTCCTAGGGCTGCAGAGTGGTGAGGACAGGGCTCCTGGGGGAGGAGGCGCTCTGGAGGCTGACAGAGAGGAGTCTGAGCTGGGAGCAGGGCAGCCGCCTTCCTTCCCTGTGTCCCAGGACTGGGGCCTCTGTTGCCCCGGAGCTGCGCCTGGGGTGTCCTGGTCCTGGAGTGGGTCCTCCCCTCCCCTCCCCTCCCCTCCCCTCCCCTCGCCCCAGCTCTCTTGCCTTTCCCCTGCCTGCTCTCGCCCCAGCACAGAGGTGTGCAGAGCTGGCCGTCTCCACGCTTCCCTCCCAGGAGCTGGCTCTGGCTGTCTTGGCCATGTGCCGGCCAGGAGCCCCTGGGGATGAGGGCTCTGAGGCTCGTGGGCAAGCCCTGAGAGCCAGACCTGGCTGCCCACTGCCTCCTGCAGGTGACCTTCACCAAGCGGAAGTTTGGGCTGATGAAGAAGGCGTATGAGCTGAGCGTGCTGTGTGACTGCGAGATCGCACTCATCATCTTCAACCACTCCAACAAGCTGTTCCAGTACGCCAGCACCGACATGGACAAGGTGCTGCTCAAGTACACCGAGTACAACGAGCCGCACGAGAGCCGCACCAATGCCGACATCATCGAGGTGGGCCTCCTGGCTGCCTCCTCACCCAGCTGGGGCGCGGGGGACCTGTGTCCGGCAGTGCCAGGGCCGCCCAGCCCCCGGGGGTCCTTCCCCTCTGCCAGGACACCCCGCTGTCGGCTCCCAGGTGCCCCTTGCTACCTCTCTCCTTTCTGCGTCTTTTGGTCTGCTCCTGCCTCAGACTCTTCTGGTTTTCGTCTCCCTCTGTTTCCCTCTTTCCTGCTCTGTCTCTCTCTCCCTCTCTGTGGGACCCATGACTGTATTTTTTGTTTCAAAGCGAGCTGACATTGCGAACTGTTGAAGGACACAAGCTTTGGAACTCGGCTCTGGCCATTCCTGGCCATGTGGTGCTGGGCAGGTGTTTGGCCACCCTGAGCCGTGGTGTCCCCTTCCATAAAACGGGGTCAGTGCCTGCTCTGAAGGGCACACGAGGGAGGCACGAGGTGGCCCAGCTCCTGCATCTCACTCTGAGGTGCAGCTTGGGGACAGAACTTGTGCGGACGAAGAGGGGGCCTGGGAAGCCGTGGGCCTGCTGGTTGGAGATTTGAGGGAAATTAGGAAACAAAGCAAATCTCTCTGGGGTCTGGAGCATAGAGTGCCGCCCTGGGTCGCAGCAGATGTCTTTGCTTTCCTACCTCTCTTCTCTGTCGTGCTCTGCCTGTCCCTGTTTGTCTCTCCTCGTCCCTCGGGGGTCCTTGCGATGGGATGGGCAGAGCCCAACAACCCAAAGAGCCTCCCCAGCCCCTCGTGCGGCCGGTGTGTCCTGTGGAGCCCTCTGCTGCCCTCTGCTGAGCCCCTCCCCGGTCACTGTCCGGTACCTTGCGCTCTCCAGGGCTGGCTCCCCTCCCCTTGGCCCTGGGCTCTCGCACCCCTGCACCCAGGAGGGGCCAGGGCAGGGGCAGGGAGACCCTCACTGGCTGATGGTGGTGGTGCGGTTGCAGACCCTGAGGAAGAAGGGCTTCAACGGCTGCGACAGCCCGGAGCCAGACGGGGAGGACTCGCTGGAGCAGAGCCCCCTGCTGGAGGACAAGTACCGGCGCGCCAGCGAGGAGCTGGACGGGCTCTTCCGGCGCTACGGGGTGAGCCCACTCACTGCCTCTCTTGGCCCCGGCCCTCCCCCAGGCGCTGCACAAGAAGCACAGGGAGTGTGAGAGTCCTGAGGTGGACGAGGTGTTTGCCCTGACCCCCCAGACGGAAGAGAAATATAAAAAGATAGACGAGGAGTTTGATAAAATGATGCAGAGTTATAGACTGGCCGTGAGTAGTCGTGTGGAGGGCGCCTCCGTGCTGCATGGTGTGGCTTTGCGCCCCGCCTGCCCTGCTGCCTCTGAGGTGGGTCGCTCTGAGCGTGCTGCGGCTGGGAGTGGCCTCCGAGGACCTGCGATCCCTGCCGATCCCTGCCGAGAGACTCATCTCAGTGCAGCAGGAGTGGAGAGGTGGTGTCCCCCCCCCCCAGCAGGAAGTGTGTAGTGATATTAGATGGCCTCAGAGGACAGGAAGGTGGAGTGGGCTCTAGCGAAGTCACCCTGGAAGAGGACCTGCCTGAGGCTGAGCTTCCTTTAGAGGGGCAGAGGGAGAGGACCGAGCTCCCCTACAGCTCTCCGAGGCTGGTGGGCGGGCCACTGCAGGCAGAGCCGGCCGGCCGACACAGGCCTTAACAGCTGTGTGTGTGAACTCTGTCCGCACTCAGCCTCTAACCCGCTCGCTCGGTGTGTCCTGCCTGGCTGAGGACTAACCTGGCTCGGGGTGTCTCTGGCTCTGCTGCAGCAAACAGATCCTCGTTCTTAGCTCTGGGCCAGAGCTGGATCCCAAAACGCCCCCCTAATGTTGTTCTTTGGTGGGACTGGCAAGCAGAGCTGTACGAGGGCCTAGGGCAGACAGCTCAGGCTGCTGGCCCTGGGATGCACAGCCGGAACCCCAAAGAACCCTGCCTGCCCTCCAGGGCAGGATGGGTCTGGGCAGGGGGACCTGGCCTGACTCCGCCCCTCTGTCTTTCTGTCTAGTCAGCTGTCCCGGCCCCCAACTTTGCCATGCCTGTCACGGTGCCCGTGTCCAGTCAGAGCTCTCTGCAGTTCAGCAATCCCAGCAGCTCCCTGGTCACCCCTTCCCTGGTGACGTCCTCCCTCACAGACCCGAGGCTCCTATCCCCCCAGCAGCCAGCACTACAGAGGAACAGTGTGTCTCCAGGCCTGCCCCAGCGGCCGGCTAGTGCAGGTGAGTGGGCTGCTGGAGTGGAGGGGAGCCAGGACTCCATCTTGCATAGCGGGCCACCCACTGCTGGGCTCCCACACTTTTGGGCCTAGGTCTCGGTCTCCCCGCCTCCTGTTCTGTCCCCAGGACTCACTTGGGAAGGTGGGGTGTCTTCAGCTCATGACCTTCTGCTTTTCCCCAGGGGCCATGCTGGGGGGCGACCTCACCAACGCTAACGGAGCCTGCCCCAGCCCTGTGGGTGAGTGCAGCTGCCCTTCTGCCTGGTGGACCTAGAGTAGAGGAGAGGACGATCCCAGCGCCCAGCCCATGGGCATCAGAATCCCTCAGCCCAGGCTCAGCGTGTGTGGCAGCGGTTGGTGTGGATGCTCAGCACCGATCTTGGTGAGGGCCAGCCAGGCAGGCTGTGAGAGCAGACAGCTCCTCTGGTTGGAGTAGTAGATCTGGATGCTTCCCGTTGAGTAGAGCTGCCTGGCTGGGGGCTGGGGAATGAGAACACTTAGAGCGGCAGTGGTGAGCCTTTTAGAGCCTCAGTGATCACAAAAATCCTGCTCAACTGGAAGCATCCAGATCCACTAGTGTCCTGTGCATCTCGCAGGGTGATGTGAGGGTTAAATGAGGTAATACGTGTGAAAGGACTGCGGACGTTGTATAGTGTGAAGCAGATGTGAAAGATAGTTACCGTTCCCGCTGTTCCTAATCTGCGTGGTGACTGTGTCACCCATTCCCCAGGGCCAGCGCGCCGGCAGCACCAGCGAGTGGCCCCTCTCCTGCAGGCCGACCAGGTCCCAGGGTCCCTGCTCGCTCAGCCCAGGGCATGGTCCGAGTGGCCCGGCTGGGCCCTGGTGACTGGGTCCAGTCTTCCACCCCTTCCCGCCCAGTCCTGCTGCATCCTGTCAGCGCAGGTTGTGGGATCTGAGGTGAAGGAGAGCGAGGCTGGGCCTGGGCCTGAGGCCCCGCGGGGTTGCTCTGGAGCCCGAGCCCTCTGCCTCAGCGCTTCCCCAACCCCTCTCCCTTTCTCTCTCTGTCTCGCTCTCTCTGTCTCTCTCTGTGTCTCTCTGTGTCTCTCTGTGTCTCTCTGTCTCTCTTTCTCTCTCTCTCCCTCTCTCCGTCTCTCTCTGTCTCTCTCTCCGTCTCTCTCTGTCTCTCTCTCGGTCTCTCTCTGTCTCTCTGTCTCTCAGTCTCTCTCTGTCTCTCTCTCTCTCTCTGTCTCTTTCTCTCTCTCTGTCTCTTTCTCTCTGTCTCTCTGTCTCTCTCTTTGTGTCTCTCTTTGTGTCTCTCTCTGTGTCTCTCTCTGTCTCTCTCTCTCTGTCTCTCTCTCTCTCTCTCTCTCTCTCTCTCTCTCTCTCGGGCCCTGGAAGCAAACCCAGAGGTGTGGGAGCAGAGGTTTTCTCTCTTGAGCCCAAGACAGGAGAGGGCTTTAGGTGACGTCAGATTGCTCAGCGCCTGCAGGGGCACTGTGGCGTGAGATGTCCTGGGTGCCATAGGTGTTGACACAGGGACTTAACAGGGCTGAGGGGCGGCCCACACTTTCCCTCCCCTCATCTCCTTCTTTCTCCAGGGAATGGCTACGTTAGTGCCCGGGCTTCCCCAGGCCTCCTCCCTGTGGCCAACGGCAGCAGCCTGAACAAGGTCATCCCTGCCAAGTCTCCGCCTCCGCCCACCCACAGTGCCCCGCTCGGAGCCCCCAGCCGCAAGCCGGACCTGAGGGTCATCACCTCCCAGGGCGGAAAGGGGCTAATGCACCACTTGGTGAGTGGGGGTCTGGGCCTGCGCTCGGGAGCAGAGGGGGGAGGAGGAGGAGGAGCAGGCCTCGGGGAGGGATGAAACTGCCTGTGGGACCGGAAACCGAGCCTGCCTAGAGGCTGGAGCACAGCAGTCCTGACTGGCACTAGCTCAGGGCTAGAGAGCGCAGGTGGGGAGACCGTGTTGTGCTGGGAGGTGGGGCGGCTGCACTGAGGGGACGCGGGGTGACGTGTCTTCCCCGGGGAGGGGCGGTGGCTGCTGGCAGTCACTGGCCAGGGAGCGCACCTGCTCGGGCAGAGGCTGGGCAGTGGCCGGCCGAGGGTAGAGAGAGGCCGGAGGCTGAGCCGCCCCTTGGTTTTATTTCTGCTCCCAGACTGAGGACCACTTAGATCTGGTAAGTGAGGCTGTGACACTTGCTGTGCCCGTGACTCCCGGCTCAGCCGCTGCCCGCCGTCCCCCGGCATGGCACGTGTGTCCTCCTGTCCTGCCTGTGTGTGGCGTGTGCTGTGTGGACTTGGGTGTTTCTAGCTGTGCTCATGCTGGGGTGCCTGGGGGGTGAGGACTGAACATGCATGCCGTGTCCTGTGTGCACGTGGGTGCATCCACTCACGCATGTGTGCGCGCGTGTGTGCAGAGGGGAGTAAAGCATCCCCAGGCCTCAGAAGCCCCAGGCCTGATGCCGGGGCTAGGCCTTGGGATCCAGCAGCCTCCCAGCTCCGTGGAGGCCCACTCTGCCCTCGTGGAAGCCAGAGCAGGGACTTCCTCTGAAGGGATGCCAGCCTGACAGTAACAGCTTTGCGGGGAGCTGAGGCCCAGGCCAAGGCTGGAGCTCCCTCCGTCCCCGTCTCTTTTGCACATGCATGCACACTCTGCTCAGCTGGAAATGGGGCAGGGCCTCTGTCCTCCCAGCTCCCTGACGGGAGGCCAGAGAGGCTGGAAAAGGCAGGCTGTCTTTGGCGGCCAACACGGTGGCAGTTTCGGCCCCAGCGTGGAGTTGGAATAAACAAGTGACTCAGCAGCAGATGGAGCTGACAGCCCCACACACGTGTGTGCACACACGCAGACACGCCAGGCCGCACGGTCCCCCCCCAGACACCAGCGCACACTCCAGGGGCGTGTGCTGCTGTGCCATGATGCAGGGTGGACTCCGGGGCCTGGCCAGACGGGGAGGGCGTGGCTCCCTCTACCCCCTGCCCAGGAGCTCGGGTCCAGCGTGCCACCTTTCTCTCTGCATGTTTAGGCGCCAAGGAGCCTGTGCGAGCACTTTTCCGTGGTCTCAGCATCTCCGAGTGCGCAGCCAGTGTGTGTGTCCACAGGGCCTTCTCCCAGCCTTGGGATCCGGGGCCTGCAGCCTGGCCTTGGCAGGGAGGGCCTGCCCATGGATGGCAGCCCCCGTCTGTGCTCTCCTGACAGACTATTTCCTCCTGCAGAACAATGCCCAGCGCCTTGGGGTCTCCCAGTCTACCCACTCGCTCACCACCCCTGTGGTTTCCGTGGCAACACCGAGTTTACTCAGCCAGGGCCTCCCCTTCTCCTCCATGCCCACTGCCTACAACACAGGTGAGTACACTTGGGCTGGAGCAGGCGAGGGGGTAAGAGGGGAGTGCCAGAAACACTGGGGGTGCCGAGTTTGAGGAAGGCCATGGATTTGGGGAAGTCTCCGTCTGCTTATAGTTGCTAGACAAAACATGCACTTTGGGGCTGGGGCTGTAGCTCAGTGGTGCCATGCCAGCCTTGCAAGTGCAAGGTCCTGAGTTCGATCCCCGGTACTAAAGAAAAAAAAAATGTTCTGTTTTAGTTATAGTCTAAAGACATTTTTCTGCTAAAGCATGTACCAAAGACACTTCTGCTAAAAATACTGTGCATTGTTTTATCTGAAACTCCGACTTCCGAGGCCCTCTTTATCTCTAACATAGAGCTGAGTGGAGGGGAAGGGAAGGAGGTAGGCACAGCGGTGTTTCAGACTGCCAAGCCCCATGCCGGGTGCGGAGAATGGGTGGGCAGACATAGTGCCGAGAGGCTTTGTGGAGGAAAACGGAGGCACGAGGGGAGGGGAGGCAGGCTGAGGAGGCCTGAGCAGCAGCGTGGTCGGGTGGATTTGCCAGCCTTCTGGGCGAGGACAGGACGGGGAAGGGGGACTCCCTCCTGTTGGCTCAGTGGGGGAGCCATGAAGGGGAGGCAGAAGAACACTGGTGAAGGTTGAGGAGGTGGAGCTGAAGGAGGGGAGGTGCTTGAGGACTGAAAGAGGCCTCTGGGTAGAATCCAGACAGGACGTCCAGTGTCCAGGCTGTCCTGAGTCCCCAAGGGTGTCCTGGCTGTCACCCACTCACCCTGCATCTGCTGGAACAGCCTGTCGCACCTCAGGCAGGCTGCTGTCAGGAAGGACTCCCCCAAGGGAGGCCCGTTGCTTGGTGTCACAGACCCGACCTGGCTGGAGAAGCTGGGTCTCAGCGCGGAGGGGTCTCTGCTTCCCCCTGGCTCTCTCCCATGAGTGGCTGGGGTTAAGGCTGTGCCTGTAACAAAAGTGGGCTGGACCAGGGGACTCCACACTGCTGCCATCATGGCCCCATCCCAGCACTGAAGCACATGAGGTGCCAGGCACCAGTGCAGACTGCAAGGCCGCCTCTTCCCTCCCTCCCAGCCCTGTGTGGTGCGGGCCTCTCTGGTGACAGGCTAGGGAGCTGGAGGACCCAATTCACGATGGGGCGCTGGGCTGCGGCGTGAAGGCCCATGAGCCACTGTCCCTAGACTGTGCATACCCATTCCCGTCTAAGTCTCCAGCCTCAGCATGGCAGAAGGAGCCGAGGCCCAAGGTTTGGGGGCTCCCAATGCCAGGCCAGGTGGGACGGTTGGAGGACCGAAACCCAAACCACTTGTTAGAAGCTGTAGTGACGTGGGCGTCCACCATGGTAGGTTTCCGTGGTCTTCAGGTCCTGCAGCCTGTGAAGCTGGTTGCCGTTGGACCTGACACAGGCGCTCAGTGGGCCAGCCCTCGGAACTCTTCTCACACCCGCTCAGGAGGGCCCCGGGGTGGACGGCAGGTGTTTCAGGTGGCCCTAGGTGTATAAACAAGCCCAGTGAGCCCGTTGCTGTTTATGTCCTGGCTTCCGTTCAAGTTCCGGCTGGGGTGATCTGGCTGCAGTGGTCTCTTGGGCAAGAGGTGGACACTGGCTACACAGGTTGGCAGTGGTGGCTCTGAGGCAGGCTTGGGGGCCCACACTCCCAGCCCCCAGGAGCCAAGCTTCCTCCTGGTAGACTCCGCCTGAGTCTGGTGGGCAGAGGCGGGACAGAGTTGGGTCTGTGTGTCCAGCCCTGAGCTGCCTCAGCATGGTCCGTCCTGGGCCTGGCTTCTTTGTTTGCACACAAGTGTTAGAAGGGCTCAGTCCTGGGCCTGTTCTTGACCTTGCTCTGCTTCTTAAATATAAGCATCTCAGACCTAACAGCCAATGGCAGGAAGCCAGTTGCAAGCATGGGCCACCTCTGGAATGAGGTGGAGAGGTCACCTAGGGTCCTGGGCTCCTTCAGTCCTGCCACTGGCTCGCTGTGTGACTTGGGCATCCTCACTCCAGCGGCTGCAGTTTCCTTGTCAGGAAAGCATTAGGAGGAGAATGGGAGCCAAGGTGCTTGGCATGGAGCTCCCTGTCCTGCCAGCAGCTGTGCCGTGGGGAGGACCTGGCCCTGCCTCCCTAGAGCAGAGTAAGCAGCTGGCCCCAAGTTGTGTGATGCTGTGCGTGTTCCTCCTGTCTTCCCTGTGTGGACAGCGGGCAGGAGCCCACGCCCCCTGACAAGCAGCAGCATGGTGTAGGTGGGGTGCCTGGCTGTGCCCCTTCCCAGCATGCCCTCTGCTGCCACAGAGAAGCTTCTTGTGGTCCTCGGGGAAGATGTTTTCAACACTGCCCCAAACCCGATGCGCCCGACAGCACCATGGAGCTGTGCCTGCTGTGGCTCTGCCGTGGCAGTGCAGACATTACAGCGTCCTTCCTGGGTAGACAGTTTAGAGAGGAACAAATGCCCTCCAGGGGCATCGCCAGGACCTCAGTTTGTGGAGCCTCAGTCTGGACCCACGAAGCGCTGTGTCCTCGCACCTGTGGCTACAGCGCCTCATGCCCCTCACTTAGGTTATGAATGCTCAGCAGACACTTGGGGATGGTAGTTGCAGAGTGGCTCCCTGGACCCCCTTGCCTGTTGGCCCCTAGGCTCTCACTGCCTCAGAAAGACTCGGCAGGTGGAGGGATGACAGACATGCTTAGACCTTCCCTGCTGTCCTTTTCACTCCATCTTCTTTTTCATAATTGTCATTATATTTTCGGGGTGTTTTATTTTGTTTAGACAGGTCTTACCATGTAGTTTAGGGTGGCCTTGAACTCACTGTGTAGCCCAGGCTGACCTCAAACTCTTGGAAATCCTCTTGCCTCAGCCTCCCAAGGGCTGGGATCACAGATGTGCACCACCACGCCCGGCAATAATTGTTAAAAGTTCAACACTTTTAAAAGCCACCTCTCTTCATCCTGTTTAAAAACAACAAACAAAAACAGTACCTCCTATTACCATGTCTTGCATTTTTCTGAGTGCCATCTTCACTGAATTTTCATGGGTTTCTTGAATTCCTCACGTGTTGCAGAACACCACCTGTCCCGTCCCCTCCGTGGCCCGCCCGAGGCTCCCTCTGCAGGTTCCTCCTCGCCTTCTCCCGCTGCAGATTACCAGCTGACCAGTGCAGAGCTCTCCTCCTTGCCGGCCTTCAGCTCGCCGGGGGGGCTGTCCCTAGGCAGCGTCACCGCCTGGCAGCAGCCACAGGCACAGCCACAGCCACAGGCACAGCCGCAGCCGCAGCCGCAGCCGCCGCCGCCTCAGCAGCAACCCCACCTGGTCCCCGTGTCTCTTGGCAACCTCATGTGAGTCCTGGGGAGGCCCGTGGGCACTTGGTGGGTGCGGGGAGGAGGGCGCAGGAGACTGTTGGTGCTGAGCCCGTCCAGCCCAGGTGCGGGGTGGGGACAGCGGCAGGCCAGAACTGACGCCGCCCTTTCTCTTCTCCCCTCCTCGGCCCCTCTGCCCGCGTGCCTCCCTCGGCCCGTACCCCGCTGTCTGTTCTCTTACTCTGCGGGCTCGCCTCACTTTCCTTTCTGTCCCCCACGCCCTGTCCCGTTGGCTGCGTCCAGCCCAGGCAGCCCCTTGCCCCACGTGGGTGCTGCCCTCACCGTCAGCACCCACCCCCACATCAGCATCAAGTCAGAACCGGTGTCCCCCGGCCGCGAGCGCAGCCCTGCGCCTCCCCCACCGGCAGCCGTGTTCCCCGCTGCCCGCCCGGAGCCCGTCGATGGTCTCAGCAGCCCTGCAGGAGGACCCTACGAGCCGGGGGACCGGGATGACGGCCGGGGGGACTTCGGGCCCACGCTGGGCCTGCTGCGCCCGGCCCCGGAAGCGGAGGCCGAGGGCTCTGCTGTGAAGAGGATGCGGCTGGACACCTGGGTACTGTAGCGCCCCCGGCCGCCTGTGCCCCACCTGTCTGCCTCCTGAGAGGCCTGAGGCCGCTGGCCCTCCCCGGCCCTTTGTCAGCTCACCAGAGACCTGCCTGCCCCGGCACGGGTCTGCCCAGTGCCCCACGGCTGGCCACCCCAGCCCTGGCCCGCGGGAGAGGGGAGCGGGTGCCTGGCGGCTGGGCCCTCACACCCCTCCTCGGTCTCCTCTCTTCACAGACATTAAAGTGACGTTCCCACCCCCCAGCCTCCCTGATGAAGAGCTGACAATCTCACCGCCCACCCCTGTCCTGGGCTCCTCCCGCTCGACCCCCACTTCCTTTCTTGTGCTCCGTGTCCTGTTGATGGTTACATTTGTGTATAATTATTATTATATTATTATTATTATTATATTTTTTTTAATTTGGATTCTCGCTTTGGAGAGAGGGATGCTCCCATCCCCTCTCACCTCCGCCGTGTTCAGTGGTGGAGGCTCTTTTTGCGGGAAGGGGGGGGACACTTTGCACGTTGTACACATATGCTGCAGGAAGGGGCGGGCCTTAGGGAAGGGCGGTGCCGGCCTTGCATGCAGAGCCCTCCCGCCCCGTCTCCCAGACAGAGGGAAAGAACCAAAAACTACCAAGCAACAAAAACCCCTCCAGTAGACTGAAACCCCAAAGGTGGCTGATGGACAGTCAGTATTCAAGGGAAGCCAGAGGGCAGAGGGTCTCCCGGCAGGGAGCACGGCTCTGTGTGCGCTGCACCCCGAGGTGTGTGGGTGCTGGCTGAGCTTCCGGGCTGGGGAAGCTGCCTGGGAATAGAGGCGGGGGCAGGGGTGTGAGGCGGCCTTTCTGGAAGCACATTTGGGGGAAGACGGGGTGGCAGGAGGACAGCAGAAGGGCTGGTGAGGGTGAGTCAGGCCCCTCCGTCCCTAGCTTCTCTAGGACGCAGTGCAATAGTGACCAGCCCTGTCAAGCTGGCCCTGTGCGGAGCTGGGGAGGAGTCAGGGAGGCATCAGGGTGGCACTCCTTGGGCACGGCAGCAGATGTGGAGGGGGCTCCTGGCCTTGCATGCTCCCACCCCACCCGGGAGTGGCCGTCTGCTCCTGAGCCCCTGCTCTGGCTCCCTCACTGTCTGCTACCTCCTGTCCCTCGCCTGAGGCCGCATCCCACCGCCCCTCTTGGCTACTGTAATTGTAAATAGTGACCTTTGGAAAACATTAGCGGTGTAACAGTCCAGGAAACTGTTTTTTGTTGTTGTTGTTGTATTGATATGAAATGAGATTCTATTTTTGTCAAAGTATATTGTAATAATAATGACTCAAACAGGCCCGTACTGTACAGACAAGATTCTTCTGCTGTTGTTCTTCCTCCCTCCCCTCCCCTCTGCTGCCCTCACTGTGGGGAGCCCAGGGCCTGAGCAGTCAGGGCATGGGTCCATGACCTGGGCTGGGTCTGAGACCACCCTGGAGGGGCAGAACCCCAGTGTGCTCCCACCCCTACCCAGCCCGAGGGGCCAGTGCCCCGCACTCCTCCTGTTGGCAGGCAGTTAGGCCAGGCTCCGGGGCGGCAGGGGGTTGCCAGCCGCTGACCATCCTCACAGTATTCTGGCACTAGACACGGAACGAGCCAGAGGCAGAGAGGCGTGTGGCCATGTGTGCCTGGCGTGTTCGAGAGGGCCTCTGGCGTTTCTGAGTCTCAGCGTTCCTTTGTATTTGTGTGAGTGTGTGCGCGTGTGCACGGTGTACCTCTGTGTGCCTCTGAGGCCAGCAGGGTGGATTTGTGAATCTCCGTGGGACTGGAGCTCTCCATGCATCTCCCTCTGTCTGTGTGGCTGGGTGTGTTTCCAGCGCCTGCCCTGGCTTCCAGCTGTGTGTCCCTCACTCCTCTGTTCCTGCCCTTGGCCCTGCTTCCCCTGCAGTCAGAGGGCGCTGGCAGTCGCCCCCTTTGCTTCTCCCTGCACCCCTCTTGCCAGGGCTGCCTTCCTCTGGGACCATGGCCTCCCCACCCCACACACGTGCCCCCAGATCCCCGTGCCTGACAGTGCCCTTTCCCGGAGCCCCCACCCGTCCTGCTTTCCGAGCAAAACTGATTCCTCTTCTTCCTGAGGCTTTCTTCTTCCGCCTCAGCCCGCCAGCCAACCTCCCTTACTGCCTCAGACTTGATGGGCCACCCAGCAGGGATGTCAAATGTCAGATGTCGGGCCTTTCTGCCTTTTCCGCAGGTTGCTAGGGCCAGTTCAGGAATTGGGCTTGGTGAGGGTGTGAAAGCAAGCAGTGGGCCTGGCACAGAGGCGCTCCGCGTGCCGGGTGACTAAGTGTAGGTGCTCGCCGGTGTTGAGTGACGCCTCCTCCTCTCGGGCTCTCCCTCCTTCCCCATCTTCCCGCTCACCTGTCTGGCAGGACTTGGCCACCAGGACCCACGGTGCAATATTCGCCAGCTTTGCCCTCTGCTCAGAAGGGCGGGCCTGGCTTCTGATCACCTTGTGTGGATGTGTGTGTGTCCTTTCTCCTCCATCCCTGGCAGCAGGGAGTGGTCTGTGAGTGAATACGGGACTTTTCTGCAGCTCAGCACCCCAGGGTTTCTCTTGGGGCCTGCGGCACCTGGCTAGCCCAGACCTCAAGCGAGGACTTCCTTTATTCTTCTTCTCACAAGCCAAATTTGTCTCCACCCACTCCCTCTGAATGACTGGGCAGTCGCCAAAGTAACCACTGGAGTCATCTGATGCCCCTGCCCTCCCTGGTTCCCACAGTGTTCGGGGACAGTGGGGAGAGGCCTGCTGCCTCCGTGGGACACACACTTCCCTCCCCCACAGTGCAGCAGACTGACCCAGGCCCCCCACCTGGCCCTCCCCCCTCGGACAGGAAGGAAGTAATGCACCTTCTTTTGCTGATTATTTATTTGTTTGGAGAGACAGAAATGATGTAAAAGTGTATCTAGAAATATCTATATCTCTATATATTTTTAACTGACTATTTGGAATCCCAGGAGGTGGGGGAGCTAGGCTTTTGTGGAGGGGAGACCTGGAGCCCAGGAATTTTTGATCTCCCCTCTTTGGCCTTGCCCCACCCCTAAATTGTTGGTAGGACTGGGATTTGTATGGGGGCAGGAGGCTGGGAGGCCTGTGGAGAATCTGGATTCTCTGCTGTCCCCATCCAAGTCCCAGAGGAAGGGAGGGAGGGAGGGAGGGGGCGGGATGAGGGAGGGGCGGGCAGGCTGAGGCGGTGACCACCCCAAGCCCGACAATCACCCACACTCCCGGGGCGCCTGGGTCCTGGGGAGGGCGAGTCCAAGTGTGTGGCTGTTGATTTGTTTTAAATATTTCCTTTTGTGCTGTATGGTGATGCTTTCTTAGTATTCTACACAATAAGAAAAGGCAAAGTCCTCGAGATTCTTAATGAGTTTTGTTTGAAAACTCTTTCACTATATTTGTTGTAAAGAGGTTTACTATTAAAAGAAAAGAACACACGTTTCTGATACTTTGGTGTGGGCTTTGGTTTCTTTGGTGGGTCAAGGAGGGAAGGGAAGGACGGGAGTGAAGGAAGGATGGGAGTGGCCTGCCCAGATGTGGCTGGGCTCCGCCCTGCAGGGAGGGTGGTGGTCAGCGATGGGCTCCTGTGTCCAAGTGCTTTAGGGGTCTCTGCCAGAGGCTCTGTAGAAGACACCCCTGCACTGAGAAGTTGTCCAGTTAGAAGCCCCAGGAGGGTGTGGGCATGATGGTACACACCTGTATCCCAGCATTCTGTGAGGCTGAGGCAGGAGGATGTCAAGTTCAAGCCCAGCCTGGAGAATTCAGTGATTCAGTGAGACCTTGTCTCAGGATAAAAATAAATAAATAGGGCTGGGGATTTAGCTCAGTGGTTTCACCGCCTCCTGTGCAAGCGCAAGGACCTGAGTTTGATCCCCGGTACCAGAATTAATTAATTAATGATGGGGGATATAACTACTAGCAGGGTTTGGCCATGGCCCTGCACCGACCATTTCAGGCCCTACAAAGGCAAAGCAAGGACCCGTGTATGACAGCCAAGGCTGGCGTGCAAATGGACGGTAGGTCCACCCTGTAGGCTCAAGGCTGGCCTGTTGCACATCTTGTCTGCTGCAGGTGCACAGGGCAGGGGAGTCACAGGGTCCTCATGCCCTGGGCTTCCTCCTCTGAAAAATGCCACCGTCTGTGTTGGCTCTGCCGTCTCACAAGACCACCGTGCTTCAGCCCAGGCCAGGCAAAGCCTCCACCTCTCCCTGCCTGCCATTCCTGTCATCTTGTCTCCAGCCAGTGCGAGTAGCAGCTGCTGTGTGGGACCAGTGATGAAGGCGGAAGTGATGGCAACAGTAATCAGGCTTCCACCTCTGTTTCATCATTTGCCCTGGGGAAAGCAGGTGCCATGTTGTGAACAGCCCTATGGAGAGGCCCACATGGCAAGAACAGAGGCATCCTGCCGGCTGCCATTTGAGTGAGGTCATCTTGTCCTCCATCCTTGAGAGTTCCCAAGGTTCCCTATTCCACTGCCCTGTCCTGATGACCCTTCCCACTCAGACACAGCCTGACGCCCCCTCACACCATCGCCCTCTGGGCTTGGTACAGAGATCTCCAAGATGAGGTGGGTGTGGTGGCGCATGCCTGTGATCCCCACAGTCTGGAAAGCTAAGGCATGAGGATTGCAAATTTGAACCCAGCTGATCAATTTCTCAAAATGCTGTTTCCAATAAAAAAGGGGTGGGGCAGTGTGGGGACATAGCTCTGGGTGAAGGCCCTGGGTTCAATCCCCAGGACCACAGAGAGAAATTTCTCTAGATTTGGCATGATCCAGAAACAAGTTGAGCTTCACTGCTCTCGGGAAAGCACAAGCCTTTGGCTCGGCTCCCAGGCCTTCGGAGAGCCACCTCTTCCAGGCTTAGCCCATGCTGTTTCCTAGGCCTCCCTTGGATGCTGGGCAAGCTGCAGCAGCCACTCCGTGCCTTGACAATCCCTTGTCTGCTCATGTCACCCTTCTATTTGAAATGCTACAAGCATTTGTTTTCTATGTATACATTTATTTGTTTTTGCAGGGTTGGGGATTAAACCCAAGGCCCCATGCATACTGCACACATACTGTAGCACTAAGCTACACCCCAAACTTGTAAAAAAAAAAATTGAGACAGGATCCCACTAAATTGCTCAAGTACCCCTTGAATTTGTGATCCTCCTGCCTCAGCCTCTGCAGTAATTGGGATTACAGGATTCCCCCACCACACCTAGTGCAACAAACATTTATTAAGCACCAATTCTGGGTGATACATTATGTGAGGCATTAGGCTATGGTGACAAGGGAACCAGGGGGCTTCTGAGGTGACAGAAGAGGCACACCCAGGCCAAACTAGTGAGAACGGGAGGCTTCCTAGTGGAAGCCTTTGAGCTGGATTTTAAGACACATAGAAGTCCCTGGGCAAATGAAGGCAAAGAAGGCATCCCTTGAACACTAACAGCATGTCAGGTATGGACAGAGAAGGGGCCTTTAGGAAACGATATGCTGTGACCCAGATAAAGCCACACTTACAGCTGAGACAGAGGCAGAGGCCTTGTGTGAAAGACCTTGATCACCAAGGCTTGGACGAGACTCTGCCAAAGATGTTCAGTCATCCACAGATTTTAAGTAGGGAGGCTGGGCCATGGCTCAGTGGTGAAACACTTGCCTCACACAAGAGGCCTAGTTGGGTCCCCAGCCCCAGGCACACATAGAGACAGTTCAGAGAGCTGCTGCAGGTAAGGGTTCCTCCTCAGGAATGCTGAAAGTCAGCGGGAGGAATGCGGCTTTGGGCCAAGTAGGCCAGTCAGGGTCTTCTACAAACAGGAGTAAGAAGAAATAAGAATAGGGGAGGCAGGACAGAGGAATGGAGGTGGAGAGGATGAATTTAGATTTTTAAGAAGTACCTACTTTTGGGCCGGGGATTTAGCTCAGTGGTTCCGGCACCTGCCTCACAAACGAAAGGCCCTGAGTTCGATCCCTGGTACCAAAAAAAAAAAAAAACCACACACACAGAAGTAGCTACTTCTGCTATTTGTCAAAGACATGAAAATAGATGTTTATGAAATAAACACACATGTAAACATCACATTCTCTCTGGTGTGAGAAACTAAAAGTGAAAATAAGGACCAAAAAGAATAATAAATATTGTGAAATAGAAATTGTTTAAAATTATACAGAATGTGAGACACTTTGTCAATATCTTAAATGTTTTATGCAAAATAAAAGGTATACTATTATTAGGAAATGAGCTGATAGATTAGTAAAATATATTCTTTTAAGATCATAATACACAGTGTATTTACCATGGTTATTCTCTAATCTTGTTATGAAAAAATTTTTTTCTTTTTTTTTTTAATCGAACTCAGGACCTTGGGCTTTCGAGGCGGGTAGTGGAACCACTGAGCTAAATCCCCGGCCCTGTTTTGTTTTTGAGACAGGGTCTATGTAACCCAGGCTGCTCTTGGACTTGTGTCGATCCTCCTGTCTCAGCCTCCTGAGTGCTGGGATTACAGGTATGTACCACCGTGCCCGGCTTGTAGCTCACCCCTATTTCCATCTTTAAATCCCTTCCTATCATTTGAGGTTTCGCTCCTATAATTTTCTATCTGTTAAACTTTCTCTCCACAGTGCTGCCCAGCTGGGTGTGATTGCCCCCAAGTGTCTTAGGAAAGAATCTGCCCTTTCTTTATAACAGCTACTGTGTTTTATTCTACCTGGAAATGTTATATAATAGTTTCTATTTTCTCTCTACAACTGGACTGAAGGTTCCTTTTTTTTTTTTTTTTTTTCCTGGTGGTGGTACTAGGGATTGAATCCAGGGCCTTCAAACCGACCCAAGGCAGGCGCTGCGCCACTGAGCTACACCCGCGGCCCCTGAAGGTTTCTGATAAAATGCGCTGCCTCATCCGATTGTCTGGCTCAGAGCCTAGTACACCCGGTGTGTTCAGGGTGGCCAAAATGTGATAATGCGTGTGAAAGTGCACTGTGTAAACCATGAACTACCACAAATCCAAGAAAGCTGCTTAAAACTTTTTCAAAGGCGTGGTGATTTTTCGCAGCTTCTGTCTACTTTCCAGCTGCAGGACCAGCAGGAAGAAACGCAGGCTAGAATGGGGTGAAGGGCCCTTTTCCAGGGCCCAAGCTATGAATCCAGAGAAGGGTTAGAGGCCCCTGGGCTCCTACCCCAAAGAGGTGGCTCTGGAGGAAGCACAGGGTGGCACCCGATTGTGCCGGGCAGGGCCAGGGTGGCCAGGCCAGTTCTCCACAGCAGGAGCTCTTCTGACTCACCCTCGGGTCCCATGGGCTGAGTAACTTTCCAGCTCCGAGACTGTGGATACTTGTTTCAGGAACAGCGGACGCAGAAGGGACACAGGGCGACCCCACCCCAGGCTCCAGAGTGGCTCTTACTGGGGCCAAGATCCGGCTATCTGTGTGTAGCCTTAAATCACTACGTGTCCTTGGCCGGCCAAGGGCGCGTCCAGTCCGCTGCCCTCTTTCACAGCTGGCTAACCAGACCCAAAAGGAGGTTGCTTGTCGAAGCTCACAAGCCTCCTGCCGCTTCTTTCCACCCTGACTCCTGATGTCCGGTTCCGAGCAGCCAGGGCCCAGGATTTCGCGCCTCCCGCCGGCCGAGCCACGCCGACCCCTTCGCTTGAGCCCGCGCCCCGTCGCAAGTGGCCGCCCACTGCCCTCCGCTGCCTGCGGCTGCGCTTGGCCGCCGCGTGCCCAGGACACGCCCCGACACTGACGCCCACGCGGGTCACCAGCCCGGGCTACTCCCGCAAGGAGGCCAGGGCGGGCCCAAGGGGCGGGGCCGGGCTCGGAGAGAACATCGCCATCTAAGGCGAAGGGCGGGAGGACGGCAGCCGCTCGTCGTCACTCTGCACACCGGAAGCCCCCGCGCGCCAGCTCCTCGGCTGGGCCTCAGCCCGGCTGAACGCCGCGCCGACCTTCCTCACCCAGCCCTCACGCTCCCCTCCCCACCACTGCAGGGCAGGGCGGCGATGGCTGGGCAGTGGGGCTAGCCCACACCCGAAGCTTGCGGCCTGCTGCCAAGCAGCACCGACCGCCCAAGGCGCTGGGCCCCACTCGGCCGTAAGCGCGGACAAAGCCCCCAAGCTGCTCCCAGCGTCCCTCTACTCGCCATTGGGGGGAGTGGCCCCTCGGGCTCACCCCATTGGTTTTCCCAGTGATAGATCGGGCCACCAGCCAACTGCAATTCAGGTAGGACACATGCGTACACAAGAGTTAGTGCCCTTGTGAGAAAAGCCTAACCCAAGGAACTGATTTAGGGCCGGTCTCCGGGGCTGCGAGGCAGAGGTGCGCATGCGTGAATCTCGTGTTCCCGCGGCCTGCTACCCCAGAGGATGTCACCGCCCTTTGTCTTCGTGGTGGTGTCCCCGGACCTCTGGTCCTCGTCAGCGCCACATTTGGCCCAGCTGCCGCGGAGATGCGGAAGAAGCCGAGCATCTCGG